TAATCCAAAAAATGAATAATTTGAAAAGCGAGTTTCTACTTGTAAACCAAAACCTGACAACATTTACTACTCGGTTAACTATTTAAATTCAGGAAATAACGAACCAGTTTTACACTATGAATATGATATTGTCGTTTCTTATGTCGCTCTTCATCACAATAAGTCAAAAACTGATAAGGATAGTATCTTTATACAGAATATTATTATAAACCATTATAGGATCGTTGAATTTCTCATCATCGCATTTTATTTCGATTATAAAATAATGATATATTTGTAGTGGCCGGTATGCGCTCATGTATAAAGAAAGAACAAAGAAGAAACACCCGAGGTTATAATATATTGAATCGTGAGTTGCTGAATTGCAAGTGATTGAAAATATAGCTWGGTGACTCGGAACAGTCAATACGTGGTCGGATAAAAGGAAATATATAAATCATATATTATAATGTTGACGAAAACGACAAAAAGAAATTGGCGTGAAAGTTTATACAAACCACGAATGACTATATAAATAGTAATAAGTAATAAAAGAAGAAAGAAAAACGCTAAAGGCTTTTTTATCTGAAGTGTGGTGAATTATGTTTCACAAATCGAAAGTCAAATCCAAGCGAACGCTGAATCAGTGTCACTGATTTCGACTACCAAAAACCAATATAAGTAATAAATAATAATGCCTCAAAGTTTTTTTTTTTTGTGTGTGTGTGGGTGGGTGGATATTTTGTAATATAAATGTGACATTAATGCAATTTTTGATATAATAATTTACAAATTTCAACTCTTAAATGTGAAAATATTACTTATATAATTGTGATATTTTCACAATTAAGTATGGAAAAATATAACTACTACGGGTGCATTAATAGGTACCATAGTCTGGGGTGAGTTTAGGGTCGGGGCCCAGACTTCTAAGTACACAAGTGATTTAAAATGTTAAAAACAGACCACAAATCGGTACCACTGGATATTTTGTATTTAAAGGATATTTAAAAAAAAAGTATATAACATACTAAATTAGTATTAATCAGAACTGATTTCGTTTTGTTTGTTTTAATAATATATTTTAGAGTGAATATTAACCTATTACTAAACTTAAAGATATCAGTGTTTGAACTTACAATATTTTTATTTTGTGGAGAATTATAATATGCATTTTTAAATTATAATATTTTACATAGGTACCTTAACATAGCTTGCTTAAAACTAAAATATCGTAAAAATACTAACGTACTAAACCAAGTGTTCTTATACCTTTGTATTTGATAAGAGTTCAATTTAGTCTAACTATTAATAGGTAACATATTACTACACAAAAGTGGTTCTACTATATAAATGCTAATTAGTAATTATATAGGTACTTGTATATATTATTGTGATACGTATTTGTCTCTCGAGTCTTGACTGTTAACTGTGTAATCAACAATATTTGAAAATAAGCAGGTAGTTAAAATTAGAAGGATAAATAACCATTCTAAGGGGACCAAGACACCCTCTAAAAGTTTTGGGGACTCTTAATCCACTCAAACCTCGCTCACGCGTTATTCCCATATGGTCCATACGATGGGTATAATATWATTATTACGTTTGTTTCGTTTGAATTGTATGTGCACAGGTAGTCAAGCAAATCGACTTGTCGGGACTGGTGTGCTCAGCCAGTCGGTTAAACTACATCACGGCCGACTACGGAGATGACGGAAGGGTATTTGTGTACGTGTCGGACGCAGCTACGCGGGCGGTGATCGTGTGGGAGGTGGCGGCGGACCGCGGATATCGGGTGGTGTTGCCGAAGGCGATCACGCACGACTGCACAGGCCGGCGGGACGTGCTTTATATCACTCTGGCGAGGGGTTCGTCTGCGGGGGACGGCGCTCTGTATCTGACGTATTTGACCAGCAACCGGATGTACAAGATCGACGCGTGCAACCTCCGGCAGGGATGCTCGGAGGGCACCGTCATCGACCTGGGCCCTAAGCCCGACAAGTTAGTCATCCTGGGCACGGATGGTCGGACTACCGTGTACTTCCGGTATCGGGGCCAGGGTGACATTTACGCTTGGGACACGCACCGGTCCGACGATGGCACGTCGTTCGGATCCGACCGGTTCGAGTTGGTCCGGAAGGCCGATGACTGCGGCCGGTTGGCCACGCACGTTGCCCCCGACAACCAAGGCGGCGTCCTCTGGATACTCGAGAGCAATTTCCCGGACTACATTTCCGGTGCGGTCGGCTGTCTGGGCACCAACGTCCGCTTGCAGCCCCTTGTCGCCCAGTGTGGCAATTAATACGGATATAACAGCTATGGTGAACGGCTTCCAGACTCCAGTCATCGCCCATCCAGGTTTTAATGTTCCGGTGAAACATTTCACTGCACAGTGAGTGTSTCATGCGTTTGTTTCTGTAAGAAATAACAAACACTTCTATTATAGGCATCATTAGKCATTCATTGTTTTGTCAAAGAAATGTATCYACATAACTGTTATGATTTATACTTTTTATTTTCTGTTGTTTCTCCAAACTCGAATAATTTTAATTTTCGTATTTCTTCAAAATCAGCTAAAAAAAAAGTTGATTTATGTCAATGCTAAATATGTCAAGAGTTAAATTAGCGATTCCTATAAAGTGTGTTGAAATATAGTAGTATAAGTCGTTGAGTTTATTTAATATTAATGGAAGATAAGCGGTAGACGCCATCTGTAAATATTATACACATATGATACGGAACATATTTGAACTTTGAAGTTTTGTTGAGGTATTGATATCCTTGTAAATAATATAAATAAAGCACGTGTCGCATAATATCCTTGTAAATAGCATAAATTAGGCACGTGCCGCATATTATATCATTAAATGTTTTAGTATAGTATTTATCATGCATATATCATATTTATTCAAAATTATAAAACAAAAAATCAACTTTCACGGTTTGAACTAGTTACAAAAATAAATAAATTAAGTATTCAATACAAGTCTAGATTGAATACATAYTATATTAAGTAGTATTATAATTTATACGAATAATAAATAAATGTGTGTATAATGTGTATTACTTAAGAAAAAATGAATTTTTAATTTATTTCAAAACAATCGTTTTTCAATTCCYTAGGATAAGTAATTATTTATCCTGTAAAATCGACTTATTCCAATTAAAAACGACGATTATAAAACGCCAAATAACCTATTTCCCGTAAACGCCCAAGATTTTAAATGTACCTACGATTATGAATATTGCATAGCACTCGTAGCAGATAACGTGTATTGTTTATATCTGCGTTGGCTAATTGCATAATTATTGGAAACATAATGGTAAGGAAAACCGAAATACGTATCTCAATAAATATAAATAGATTAGTAATTTGCATACAAATCGTTTTTGCAATAATCACAATCCCACGGCCACAGTGGGACCTATAATGGATATTATTATTATCATTATCGTCATTCCACGGCTTGGTTGCTCAATACCGCGGGACGGCGGCGGAGGCGGTGCGTATTGGAAATGTGGAAATTTGATATTAAATAATATTATAATAATATACGCATCGTGTCGCATCGTTATATGTGATCATAAGTATACGATAATAAACATTAAACCGATTAATTATTGATTTTTGTTGTTTCGTATAAGTACTTTGAATATACTGCGCCATAATTGTTACGGCGAACATTCGTACATGGTTGAAAATATTGCGATCCGGCGTAGAGACTGCACACGATGACTYAAATTCATTGCCATAACGATTGTACAAATGTTAAACACAACATATAYCTACAATATACATTCACTTTTCAAAACATCGTCGCGCCCTTTTTTGATCTCCACGCTATATAGTACACGTATTAAAAACTATTTCGTTGTCCTAATCTTTCGATTTCGTTCTTATAGACATGATATACCCATCGTTCCTATACAACAACAGTAATTAGTAATTATACGAACGTTTTCGTAAATTTACCTACCCTTGGACGGGCGCTGTGTCGTGTGGTCCACGCACAGATATAAATTATAATATTACGTRTATCAGTACCTACGTGCTCCGGCCAGTTACCAATATTACGGTTGCGGTGGTTGTGTCACGCRCATGATATCGTGGTATGCATATACATGTATGTTGTATAGGTATAAGGTACCTACGACCCACCACGCGCGTAGGTAACCGACAGTGTCCACCGTCCACGGTTCGCGCACGAATTCGTAAATTATGACAAGAGACAACAGGCGCATTATTATACCTACATTCGAATGGTAAGACAACAGAGGAATAATCGCTGCAGATCGCCTTGAACCACACCCTGTTGTGTACTTCGCACTGAAATCCCGCGTGACCTATAAATAATACACCTAACATAACGGACGCGCGAGCATAATATTTAATGACTAGATTTATGCATTTCTACTATTACCCGTGCATATACCTATTTACACACCGCTCGTATATATATACGATACGTGAACGAACGCTGATTTTTATTTGTTTTTTTTTTTGCCCAGGAAACGGACTTTGTTGCACAACAATTATTATAATTACGACGGTACGCACTGTTTGTTTGAATCACGTATAGTTGTTGTATACCGCCTGGTAAATGGAGGTATACACCGCGACATCGGACGAGCTCGTGCGCGCGACTATTGTTCAAACGTGTAATGAAAATTATCGTTTTTTGGGTCAGTTACTTTTAATTGGGTCCGAAAATAAAAGCTTATATTGTTATATAATTATACGTCTGCAGACMTGATCGGTCTGATATTTGTTTAGTTATGTTTTTCAACTCAAAAYTACTGAATAATGCATAATTATAAAATATTATKATTGCGTCGAGTTCACTATATGACGGTTTTTAAAAAATTAAATTTAAATCAACGTGAGACAGCTACGATATACGTATTGTTTATGATATTTATACTAGCTATAATAATATTTAATTGCAAATACAAATATATACTATTCACGTCCCCGAGGGAAATGGACGAATTTTTATGCGAATTATAATTTATTATCAAAAACTGTTCAATAATTTATATGAAATAGTTTAAAATATATAAYTTATTTTATATTTTTAGAATAATTTGGTGCGTTTATGTTACAGTAGCTTAGTTGCGAATATAGGTTTTAAAATTAATATTTATCATCATTCATCGTATACCATACCAACCGATTATCCATCTTTTCGTCCCTATTATATTGTCACTGTGTACTTACGTAACTAAAATATTTCGTGAACAAAATAAATAGTCAATAGAAATGATATTAATCGTATTAATCTTGTAGTAATCGATGTTATTATCATAATTTTGTTTTT